TTTTTGAAAACGTGTGGTTATGACGATCGCAGACATCCACCATAAAATACGTAATTGTAAAAATTGATTAATATAATAAATATAAATAGGGTCTATCATTATTTTATTTTATTAATTGAGTTTAATTTATAGAAGCTTAGCTACAGAATAACTTTAAAAAATGAATTATTTATTTACTTTCAAAAACCTTATAAATATAATAGATATTTGGGAAATGGTAGTTCGCTACTATCACTTGCACCGATTATTTTCACACCAGAAATTTAAAATGTGTTTCAATCAGTTATTTGATGTTTATATAGATTTATATTCTTGGCCGTATGGCATTACTGGTATAATATTATGGTAAAAATAATGTTCAAATACTGTCGGTTATTATAAATTATTAAAAAAAAAAAAAAATTCACCTTTCATATTTTAGGTATATCTTTATTTTAATAGGACACTAATTGTTCTATTCTAATATGTTTTACTTTTATCATCACTACTCATGTAACTACTGATAATTTAACTGTGACAATTTTAATTCCTCTGTAATAAGCAAAAACCTTCACCAGTTAACCGTAAGATAGTTGTAAATATCGTGTAAGTGTTAACTTTGTAATTCCTTACCAAAGTCAAATACGTAGGAGTTAGAACTGTTATTTAAATTGGCCATCTGGAATTTCAAGTCTGCAAAGCTAATCGCTAACAATGAGCCCTGTTCCGATGACCAAGATATGTTTTGAATCGGTCTTTTTGGTACACAGGGGTCTACGATAATCGCCACTGTTTGATAAGACGGAACTAGTGTTTGGAATTCTTGACATTTTGGATCGGTAAAGTACGGTTGAAATATATCTATTGAATTATTTTGTTTTATGAAGTGTTCGGTGAGCTAAAAATAACCGAACAATTTTTTAATAGTTTTTTACAAACGTACCTATCAATAAAAAGAAAATATTTTATCATTTATTTACTTGGCTAAAAATGTATATTAAAGGTAAATTCAATTTACACTGAATACAATTATATACGTTGACTGATTTTTCATTTATATTAATAAAACATGTTTTATTTGTGACAGAGTTAGTAAGAGTAGGATGAGGGAAATATAATACAAAATGTGTGTAATCGTTTCTATTACGATATGAAATTATTTCTGTAAATATATTTACATACAATTGACATTTTCTTAACCGATTGTAAATACAATTTTTCTTTTTCCGTTTTCCTCCGAAATCTGGTTACTTGTTCGGGATCGTCCAGGTGTACATCAACAGGCCACCCTCCTTCYCTATGTGCGATTCCGTGATCAAAATACTCCACTCGTATCGTATTGGCCTATGCACACCATGTCAATATATAGTAAAATGCATTATTTCAACTGGAAAAAAATATATACGTCATGCTCCGACCACTTGTTGGTTTCGTTGGTAGTCTTGTCAACCGGATTCTTTTGTATCCAATTTTTCTCCAGGCTGGGGTCTGGCGTCATATTTATCAACACTATAGGTCCGTGGTTGTGGAATCGACATTGTTTGCCGTAATCACTTCTTTTTCTTTCATATGTATACATTTTCACAGATTTTAACAGAGCACTCGACAATCACTTKGGACAAAATAGACAAAAAAATGATTTATGATAAATCCGGTGAATACATTTATGGATTATGCATGCACATATTACCAATAACTTTTTGTATATATTTATACGTATCAACGGTCTCCATAGCCACAGTTTATTAATTATAACTAAATTTACCTACCACTAACTAAGAGTGTTTTGTATATTTTTTTTTGTTATGTAGAATACGCTTGCTGAGCATTATCGTCTCAAAGGGTTTTACTAAATATGTTCTTCAGTACATGATACACTGATATTTTCCACTTACATTAGTAATTACTAATTATACATTTTAGATCACATAATATTTTTAATCACATATAAATATCAAAATAAATATGATGCAGTTCAATTTTCATACAATAGCGATTTTAAATGCAATTTAGAATTGTTTTATATACAATTACACTTATAAAATGTCACTCTAGAATATATTTTACAAATTATAAGAAACTTTGTATTTTCAACTGTGTTCATAATGMGAATTATTATGAAAAAAGGATGGAAAGTGAGTACCAATTTAATATTGTGTACAGTTTTAGTTATAGAGTAGGTCACTATAAATTGTAATGGATGTATTAAAAAAAATTAAAGACCATATTTTTGAATTTTTTTTTTTGAATCTATTTTTTGTACTACCTTATAAGTATCCCGTGGTGATAATAACTTTTATTTTTCAAATGAGAACCGCTTTTTTACTGAAAATTATATAGCAAATAATTTTTTTAAATTTTAATGTATCTTTAAAAATGAAAAACTATTTGTAATCTTAGATCTTAGATTTAGTTTTTATGAAACTTGAATCATTTTCGAAAATTATTATAAACTATAGCTAAACCCGTGCACTTAAAAATTCTGCTTTAAATTCTACTTGGAAGTTCTACTTTTTATATGTCACAAACTGTTGTTAAATCCATTTCCTGTGATTTTTTCTAGCAGTATACTTTTATACGTATAGACAGATACGGTTAAAATGATATACTAAATAATAATCTTGCAACGATATTCAATTTAGTTTATCATTATAATGATACATATATGATACATATATGTAGTTTTATTCGTTTTATCAAGAAAAGTATGACAATTCAAATATTGGATTGGATGATATTTGGGCCCATCACTTTTTAATTTAGCCTACCTTCTGCCCATAGGTCTAATATAATATTATGTATTTCTTTACCAAATTTCGTTTCAGTCGGTCCAGCCGTTTAGGAATGTACAATGGACGAAAAAACAGAGAGAAATTCATTTATATATATATAATATATATAGATTAATTATTTTATATCGTAATAGTTATAGGTATTTAGTTTTTTTTTTTTTTTTTATTGATTGTTTACAACTTCGGCAACAAAAGCCATTAGTTATTTTATTTTTTACATTACGTTTGCTTACATGTTTAGATTTGGTTATAAATATTGGTTTGCTTGAGGAAGTACTTAGTTTTTAGTTTTTTTATTCCAGTATAAACTATTTATAAGAAATCTAGTATTAAATTGTCAAGCTTTTAGAACGAGAAAAATATTCTCTATAGCAAAAGAAAACCAAAAAAAGATGAAAATTTTAAATGATTATAAACAGCTGAAAAATAGTTAAGATAACCTGTTTGAGGAAAAGAATGTACCTATAGGTACTAACTTTAATAAAAAATTAACATGACTTTCTGGTAAAATTATTTATTTTTTTAATATACGTAGACAAACTTATGGATGACCAAGTATTAAGTTTTCAAGTCATAGACCTAAAATCAAAAAGGAAATTTTGTTTTTACGAATATCATAAAATTCAAGTAYAAAACTACAAAATCTTATTAGGTATATTATAATCGTTTAGATTAACCTATAATAAGACCTATATTAAACCTATTCAAATTACACACATGCCTACTTATGACAGAAAAACATAATACAATTATTTGGTACCCAAACTTATTTATAATAATTTCCTAAATTTAATCGGGTTATTATTATTAAACTGAGACCTAATTGCAAATATATATTGAAAATCACGTTTAATTGGCATCACTCTTAAGTCGTTTAATCTGGATGGGCTAATTCGGCACGGACCACGTTCTCAGAGGATTGAACTTATTAATTTCCCAGTTTTATCTAATGTATCATTTGGGTTAGTTAACCAAATAAATCATTATGTAGCATGTAATATACAGGTACGCATATCAGATCGGGAATTTATTACTTAAATAGTTAACCAAGAACTTAGGTATACACTATACATTAATAGTTAATACATTATAGCATGAAGATACATTTTTATTTACGACATGAGTAGGTAGGTACTATAATATAATTACGAAGAAGTAACTATTAATATCTATATTATTGTAATAATGTAATTTATTACTCATACTCTTGTTTTCGGGTTAAAAACTTTTATATAGGTAATATTTAATATGATTGCCGATTGATCTTAGAAAATATTTATTTATTTTTTCATACCTGTACATTTTAAATATTTATACTCGTACATAATTTACGTAAATAGGTTACTAATCTTTATACTTAACAGGATTTTTCTTATATGTATACTTGCTAGATATAAATATTTTATGTATTTTAATGGTTAGGTTAAGTATATTATACTATGTATGACACATTATTTGGTATACTTAAACCGTAAATATAATATAATATAATTTTAAATTCTAAGCGGAACAGATAACCTAGCCATAAAAAATATTGATTTTAAAATAACGTGTATTTTTTTACTTCTAGGAGTAAAATAGATTTTTCTGATACTTTGAGTGAGTAGGGGGTGGTAAAAGGTAAAAAACTCTCAGTAGATACTTATACGGCTTATACCTACATTTATAAAAATATTTTTTCATTATATATATTTATATTTGTATATATTAGTATTTAATTTATTTTTCTATTAGTCATACTGTTTGCTGAACTAATTTATAGCTTGCTGTTATTCACTATTATGAATGAGTACTATCAAACCGTCAATGGGGTAAAAATAAGCTCTTAAGTATTTATATAACTCAATTCAAATCTAAATGTTTTGGAAATATTTTTATGTAAAATAAATATTAAAATATTCTGCGAGAAAGTTTTAAGTTCCAATGAACAAAATTTTTGAATTATATCAAAATGCTCAAATTAATATTCTTACTGCATGGTAGAAGATAGGTTGTAGTACCTATTTATAGGTTCTATCCAAGTTTTTGATATTTACAGCGTAATTTCAAAACGATTAACGGCTTAATTAACCTTAGTTAACTTTAGTGAGTCAGTACCTCCGCTGCATATAGAATGATTGTGTAAATTTCTAAATCTCTCATCCAATGTACCTTTATAGACAATACAATATAATAATACGCTACAATATATTATAATATAGATACCTACCTTAGTATATGCATAGTAAAGTTAAAAAAAAAAACAAAATCGAAAAATCGAAAAATCGAAAAATCGAAAAATGTATACTAAACATTAAACGGAGGAGAAGTCTTTTGATTTATGGATAATACAAAACGTAGTGTGATGCACATAATATTATTATGAAGGCATTATAGGGAGTTAATTTCAAAGGGAAAAATTCGAAAGTTAACTACGTAATTTATTTTTCCACACTCAAAGTGGCTGATTGTATTGTAATCATTATAATTATTAAAACACGGGTATAACTTGTATAACTTTAATAGTAGTRAAGGGGCGCGTTCCTTGAATATTAACCACACTATTATTATTACTTCGTATAATATATATACATGTATTATGTAAATAACCTAAAGTAGGGTGAAACGTTTTACAAAGAAACTTCGCTCGTACATCGGAAAAACTTCAAACTCGATATTCAGTGGATTAGGAGGTTTATACGATAAAATATATTGTTATCATATAGTTTTAACTGAGCAGGTAGGTACTTCAATTACCTATATCGAAGTGGACCGTGGCGATAGTGATAGACGATTCGTTTTCACGCATTGTACATATTATTATGTTAATTCATCGTCGTACTGCATCTAAATTATATTATATTATTTAATATTTTCCAGCGCATCATAKCGGCGAAGTGCGAATATAGTATTGTTTAGGAAATTTGTTTTTTTTTACCATCGCCACCCCTTATTGAACCTGAATGTTGTTTAAAGTATTTTGCAAATTATTATAACTTTTATTAGTTTATAATTTATATACTTACAACATTATACGTATTACGTATACCTATACTATGAGTTATACTTGTAAAATTTAAACCGAACAATATGGACGAGTCGCTACACGATTAATGCAAATGCGTTCAACACCTCAGCATCGTCAAATAATACAACTTTTAAATAATATTACCAGTTCGGTTCCAAATGTCATAATGTGCGCACGYCTGTTCATTAGCAATAGGCTCGCTGCTCTTTTTTTCTAATCGTAACCCTCCTTCAATGTTTCGTCAATAATAATAATCAAGTTATTATGTCATCTCAACCTAGTGTGGTTTCTTCCGAAAATACAAACAAAAGAAATCTTTCTACTTCTTCCCTTTCGCCAAAGACAGATGAAAATAAAACCAAACTATTCACAAGTCCAAATCGGTTCTCCGTTCTCTCTAAGTGCGATGACATCGACACGAACACATCTACAACCAACGTTCAAATCTGCAACAGCAATGACAAAATAAAGGTAYCACCTGTTTACATTAAAAAAGTGGGTAACATATCCGCCTTTATCTCCAGTCTTTTGACCAAGTTTGACCCTACAGATTTTATTTGTAAATCCACGCCCTCCTATCTTATCGTCCGAACTCATTTTGTTGAACATTACAATCAGTTATTAACGCATTTAGAGGAGAATTATTATTGTTATCATTTATATTAGCCAGATTCTATGCACCCGCAACGCGTAGTTATTCGAAATCTYCACCCAACTACTGAACTCGAAGACATCATCGCCGGCCATTCAGAATTGGGCCACCACGTCACCAATATGGCA